AATTGCGCTTAGGGGCTCCGTAGCATTCAGTCTTTGACATTTTACCTTTAAAGTAAATGGAATTCTTAATGAATACTATAACATGACAGTATACATATTGATTTACCATTTTCATCATTTTAACTTTCAAACATGGAAAATTCTGGACACAAATGGATTTGAAGGCTCAAATTTTGACAGTGAGCTTTAAACATTATTACTTATTAGCTTAAATGAAAAATTCTAAGACTAAGGTATGGTTGGTCAAACAGATGGAGAACCTGTCCCTTTTAATGATGATAGTTACAGAAATGACTTATTGAAATCATAAATCTCATTGTAGTTAAACTTTATCCAATTATGGACTGTTCCCTTTTATATTGCCGACTTTGTACCTCAAATGATTCTGTTCAGTTAATAACTTGCAATTATTTGATCCTGTCTTCAGAAAATATACAGTAACAGATGAAGAAATGTTTACAAAATGTGGGGGAAGAACTGCACATAAGTATGTTTGAATATTTTTGTACCCAACTCCATTTTCCTTTGATGAATTTCAATTTCGGCTCACCGGCTGGCCCGCTTCATATAACCAGGCCTTTAGTCACTAAAGACTGTTTTATCATTTCTGACAGCTGCCAGTGGGCGTATGTTACCTTGCCTTGCAAGCTTTCTTTGAGTTATTACCCTTGACTTCGTAAAAATGCATCAAAATTTGTTTGTGAACGCAATAAAGACTACAGTTTTCATCTGATTTTAATGAAACTTGGTGTGGTCATCTACGAGATCCCGGTCAAGCGCCAATTTGATGATTTTTAGATGAACGTTTTTCAGTTATTGCCCTTGACTTAGTAAAAACCCATCTAAATTTGTTTGTAAACACAACAGAGACATTAGTTTTCATCTGATTTTAATGAAATTTAGCGTGATCATCTTTAACAATGAGATATTGGTCAAATTCGAATTTAACAATTTCTCGATGAATCGTTTTTGAGTTATTGCCCTTGACTATGGAAAAACGTGACAAAATTTGTTTGTGAATGCAATAGAAACTACAGTTTTCATCTGATTTTAATGAAATTTGGTGAGATCATCAACAACTATGAGGTCGTGGTGAAGTTCTAATTTGATGATTTTTTGATGAACAGTTTTTGAGTTATTAAGTTATTGCCCTTGGCTTTAAATAAAGACGCATCAAAATTTGTTTGTGAATACAATAGAATCTACAGTTTTTATATGATTTTAATGGAATCTATTGTCATCATTTATATTGATAAGACATTGATCAAGTTCGAATTTAACAATTTTCCTTGACTAAGTAAAAAATTTGTTTGTTTTCATCTGATTCTAATGGAATATCATTTATATTGATAAGACATTTGTCAAGTTCGATGAAGGGAATTTGATCTATGGCTCTTGACATAGTAAGAAAATGTCGAAATTTGTAAATAAAAAATAAAGATCTGGTCTGATTTTGATAATAAATTTGATGGTAACTGTGGCTTGTGAATGCGATAGAGGTGACAAGTTAGATTTTTGGTATGATCTGATACAAATTGGTGACCGCCCTTGATACACTGGAAATTTATCAGGAAGTGGGTGTATCTTGGCAACCACTTATTGTATCTTATTTTTGTACGGCCACATTTAATGATTTGTTTTGATCTGATTTTGATGAAACATCGTATTTTTACATGTATTAATATATAACAGTCTAATTAAAATTACACCAATCTTTTATATTCTGTGTTTTATTAACTTTTTCATCTGTTTGATGACACATTCCTGCCCTCTCCAACACTGTCCATTACTTATGTATGTATTATGTCAAAATTGAAATTATTTAATCTGTTTATTTCAGGGGAGCAAGACATGGATTAAAGTTAAATGGTAAATTAAAGAGAATAGAAGAACATGAGGCTATATTATTAAAACAAATGCAAGATAAACTTAAATCAGACAATAAAAGAAAAAGTAATAACATCAAGGAGAGTGTATCCGATTGTGATGAAAATGACTCTAATAGATGTACTGATACTAGTGAAACATTAGACAAATGTGCTTCAAAAAAAAAGAAAAAGAAAAAAAAGAGTAAGTCTAATGATAAAGAGGCAGTTGCATCTGATTCTAACACAAACGAAAATAAAACGAAAAAAAAGAGTAAGTCTCATGATAAAGATATTGAGACTGTGATTTTAGACTCTGACATAAATGATGTGAAGAAAAAGAAAAAGAGTAAAAAGAGAAAGCATGAGAAAGAAATGTCCAAAGTTTGTCAGATTGAAGATAATTGTGATCAGGTTGATGATGGTGAGTTTTCTAAAAAAAAGAAAAGAAGAAAGAATTGTGACAATTGATAGAAAACTATTTTCTATTTTTTTTAAAATTAAAGTTTTTAAATTGTGAAAGGGGTAGATTGTTTATCAATGAGTTTTTGTGGTCTTGATCGTGAAATACATAATACTTCATGCCAACATGTAGAGGAAGATGCCCCTTACCTTTCATGAAAGTTTCAAGGTAAAAAATCCAAGCGTTCTGTCACAATCGATAAAATAATTCTTAAACGGTTACGTAAGTATCTTAAATCTCGTGACCTCAATTTTTACTGCTCAGGAGCCTTATTCTTAAAAACTTAACTTAAGATGATTATAGTGATCTGATTATTCAATTACTAAAATTGATTTTAGATTTATTATTATTATCCAATCAGATTGTCGTATTTCTTAAAATCCTGATTTTATTTAAGTTAAATTTTGGAGAATAAGGCCCCTGGAAAGTAGCGACTACCCAATTATGAGCGTGTTATTTTTAGATATCTATGATTATGAAAACTGAATTTTGATTGGACCAATTGAACCAATCAAATATTCATATTTCCGACCGAAAGAGGCGGTAGAAAATAAAAGTAGCAATCAACTTCGTTATTTTCATTTCTCATTGTTGTGATTTTGTGAATTTTGCTATAATGATAATAATCCATAATTTACATGTAACAACCGGAGAAGTACACAAACAAAGTATATTTTTTTATCCCATGTTAAAATGTGGTAGTATATTGTCGTCGCCCCTGTCCGTTGGTCCACAATTGACTTGTGAATGTAATAGATACAACAGTTCTTTTCTGATTTTAATGAAATTTGGTGTGATCGTTTATATCAATGAGATCTTGAACATTATCGAAATTGACGATCTTTTGATGAACGGTTTTTGATTTATTGCCCTTGACTAATGAAAAACGCATCAAAATTTGTTTGTAAACACAATAGAAACTACAGTTTTCATCCGATTTAAATGAAATTTGGTGTGAATATGTATAGTGAGAAAATCTTGGACAAGTTTAAATTTGGCTATCTTGTGATGAACGGTTTTTGAAAACTCGTCAAAATTTGTTCGTGAACACAATAAAAAACTACAATTTTCATCTGATTTAAATGAAAGTAGGTGTGATCATTTATAATGATGAGATCTTAGTCAAGATTAAATTTGATGATTTTTCATTCAACGGAATTTGAGTTACTGCCCTTGACTTAGTAATAAATTTGTCAAAACGCGATAGAGGTGACAGTTTATGTCAGAATTTTATTAAGTTTTGTGTGTTTGATTAAATCAACAATATCTTGCACATATCATATTTTAGGTATGATTTGACACAGGATGTCATGATCTAGCTGAAAGGGATACAGCTTTTCCAGCTGATACAAGTCAATTTCAGGGCTAACAATGGTTTCCTCCCTTTTCCTCCTGATTTCAAATTTCACACTGAAGCCTCGCATGGTGAAAATTGGTGACCGCTTGAAACTTGTTCAACGATATATGACTCAGAATTACTTTTTGACAGAAACGCAAAAAACTATTTGTACGCGTATTTTGTTAAAATCTTTTTTATTATTTTTTTTTCATTCTTTGAAAATATAAACCTCGTATAACAATTTGAAATTGAACCAAAAACTCGTATAATAATACTATATACGAGGTTTTTCATTTTCATCCACAGAAAAGGAACATTGAACCTCGTATAATATAATATTTTATGAGGTTTTAAACTGACTGTTTATATATGTGTTATTTAATTAGTGCTTTTTGAGTTATTTACAATCAAGCAAGGATTCCAATGTTTTGATCACAAGATCCGCACTTTTACGAGCTTTCGAACGGTACCAAAAAGTCAAAATGACCAAATATGGCATATACGAGGTTTCAAGCGGTCACCCACGATATATATATAAGCAGCTTAGGGTATGTAAAGAAGAATAGTTTGAATTAATAACAAATATTTTATTTCTGCATGATAATTATATCTATATAATTGAATATGACAAATCATGTCGTTTACAGTGGTCTTTAAATCAATTTATCGCTATTTTGCAGAATAGATGTTGTTGCTTTTCATCAATTGCAATTGATCAATGACTAATCTAATTTGAACCCTGACTCTGATGTAAAAAGGGGTGAAACCACTATGTGCCAATTTAATCTATGCATAGCACTTAATTGTCACCTTATTTCCTTACAATTCTACATATTCAGGGTTAACCTACAGAATGGTTAGTTTTTATATATTAGATTGTACACTGCACTTGAACAGGATGTGAGCAGCTTTCTTTAAAAAATTCAAATTTTTGTGGTTCTGCAATTCCACTATAACAAAGTGATTAATGAAGTCATAAGCACAAAAGTTAAAGAAAACATGATAGTGGGGTAGATTATGTCTACTTTATTGAAACAGCCTATAGATGAGAATTCATCTTCCGTGAAGCTCATTAGCATATTTACACCAACAATATGGCCGTCACTCTTCGACCGGTGTAGAATGCGGTGTATATTTTCGCCTATTTTAAACATTGCATACATTTTGAAAGTGCAGGGATAAGTTAGTAGATCCAAAATGGTTTTTGAATCACTTGTAGTTGATCTCATCAACAGATTTTTAGGGGACTATGTGGAAAACTTAGACAGTTCGCAGCTGAAGTTAGGAATTTGGGGAGGTAAGTCGCAATCGACGAACGGGCACTGAGACTGACTATTTCACAATTCCACCCACTTCCAGGAATCTAGTAATTGTCAGTGATCTCGTCAGTTAGAAAATCATTAAACATTAGATCTCCTTAACCTGAATTCAATCTATGACATCGATTACTGTGCTTTGTTAAAGAAATTTACATAGAACATTGAAGAATTGGGCCTACTAAAAAAAAAAAAAAAAAAAAAAAAAGAGGAAGAGTAAGGCCAACATTCATTCACTCACTGTCAACAAAGACAGGATATATGAAGCGCGTGACATCAATCAGTTGAAAATGTCACATGCACGTGATTCTACTTTCGTTTTTCTTTTCTTCATTTAGGGACAAAGTACAACATACTTAATAGTTAAAACATCTCCCTGTCCATGCCAATTCACAAGGTTTGGTACTTGTAGGCCTACCTTAGAAATAAACACACTTTTACTACACAGAAATTACAGAAATGAACAACATTTCAAACTGAAAATTTCACTGGACATGTAAACTCTTATTTCAAACTTTTCATCAGTTGGCATTTTGTTGATAAACAAAAGATTAAGACTATCAACTGTTTTTTTTTTTTTTTAGGCTACATGCCTAACATGGTCTCTTCCACATGTCCAAAACTAATTCATATTTCTGCAATGTTTCTCATCAAAATGTAAGCCTCATATCTAAAAAATATTCATGATTTCACATGAATTTTAAACTGACCAACCAACATGCTTTGTTGATTTTTAAACTCTATTTAAACTACCATATAACAATTTAAAGTCAATATTTTTTAGTCTGAAAACTATGTGGTTGGAATAAAACTTGCTTTAATAAAATGAATAAGCTTACTCAATCCACAGACTGTTCATATAAAATATTGGATTGACAGGTTGAAATGCATGCTCATGGCATAAATTTATGTTTTGATCCTTTTTACGGTCTTCCATGTTTTAAATAAATATATAAACTTTGAAGATAAATGTTAATTTTTATCCCATTAATCAATATCGCGAAACGTATCGTATCATGGCACGATTTGTGATCCATAACACTAAAATTTGCTATATATACAGTATATATAGCATGCAGTGTATGTTTGTGTGTGTGTCTTTTCAACTAAAATCATACTAATGACTAACTAATTTTCACATAATTAATAGACTTATCTATTGCTTGGTGACCTAGGCCAGTGCTTTCATTCAGACTTGCCTCAATACACCCTAGCACTAAAAATTATAAGGGTACTGTAACTATAGGCCTACACTAAAAGAGGGTTTAAATTGATGCTGCTTTAAGTTAGTTAGCAAGCATATAACAAAGTCAAAATTCAAACCCTTTTTCACAGTATTAATTAATTGGCTTGTTACACTTATTTTATATTTTTCTTCATAAACTGACAAGATCTCCTCCTTTTACTATTATATTTTCTAATTTCATTAAATAATAGATATTGGTTGCCAAATATTATCAATAATATTCAAGTTTTTCGTTTAGAAGTTTAGAAGCTTTACTGTGGACTTTCCTATAATGATCATTTTGACAGTACATAACAGAATACTGCCAACCCTTATTTTAATACTGTACAGCTTTTCTCCAGAATCTGATATTAAGGTTGTTTAATAGACTTCAACAGACGCTATAAAAATATAATGGAAGAGAAAAATCAATAGTTTTATTGGAACGTGGCATACACAACCCATTCTACTATACCAAAGCACGTGCTAATAGATTCATTGGTGCGTGATGTGACAATTGTAGCTGAAATAAGAACAGGTCTACTGTCACCTGTAGGAAGGTGGACAATAAATCAAGGGACTGTAACCCTAAGCATAATACAAAGCATAACATGATTGAATAATTTCTCCAGTAACAAATATATTGTTAAAGGAACAGGATAAGCAATATGGTAAATATTTAATAGGGCAAAGTGTTCAGCTAGTTATTGAAACAAACAGGCTATGGGACTAGGTCTGAGTGATATATAGGTATGATATAAAAGCTATTGTAAGTGACAATTGCAACTAAGTTATTATCTGCCTACATTAGTCCCCACATAGATATCACATTGAACTTTATAGTGATATAGTGTTAAGAGTGAAGAAGTTCTATGTAAAGCACTGGCCAAGGTCACAAATAAAGAGATAAATGTTCAATACAAGATAAGGTGAAGTTAGCATAGTTAGTATTAAGTTAAAAAAAACAACCACGAGTAATCTACAATAAACAAGTCTATAATATGAAAAATTTCTTGTTACCAGTTCTAAAAGAAAAGAGTATGAATAGGTTCTGAAAAGATAAACATCTATATATAAGGATTAGAATATATTATACTTAATGAGCTAGAAAAATAGAGAGGGAGGTCAAGTATTATTGGATGCAATGGGATCGAGTCTACCACGGACCAGAAAATTACTAAGGTTTTTATTGCGCTTATAGGCAATTACAAGTCGTTTGGTATATACATTCGGAAATCTGTTCTGTAATTCACTGTAATACTGTTTGACGATGGATGAGGTTTTGGCAGCTGTATGATTAAAGGTGGCAACAAATGGAATCATTTGATTATCATGCTGGATGTTAAGTCCATTTGGAGCCACTGTTTGGAGTTGGTCCATCCAGTAGCTTTCTCTCTGTAATCGTTTGGTTTTTGGTTTGATAAGGTCGGAGTCAGGAATTGATTCAATAGGCATGATAAAAAGGTCTTCAATGGAATGGTCAGGTAAATTAAAATGATGAGAAATTGGTCTATTTTTGCTATGAATTATATCAAAGCGATGGCCGCTAAATCGAGTTCGCAACGTGTTCTGGGTTTCGCCGACGTATTGTTTGTCACATTTTTTACACGAAATTAGGTAAATGATATTTTTATCCGTACACGTGAGACGTTCTTTAATTTCAAATATTTTTCCGTTTTTTTTATTTTGAAAATAATGAGACATATCTATATGTTCACAGGTGCGACACCGAGAACCTCTACATGGTATTGCGCCAAAGTTATTTATTGGAGGAGGGGGTTCATTAAGTCATAGAGCTATGTGCTTGCCAAGAGGATAGAGCACACAGTAATTATATCTCTCTTGCAATTAAAAAAAAGCTGTCAATACCATTAGGGCGTTATTAACATTAGCATAATGGAATGTCTTTATTTTGCAGTGAGAACTCATTTATAGGTTTGCTATCTTAATGAGTTTGTCTTGCAATTACCATATATCTCTATTTATATACAGTCAAATCGATAAGAATGCTGCCAACAGATGACTTTTTCTGTCATTATACTTTCTAAAGTTGATAACTGTTACATTACATGAATGTTGTTTGCTTGTGCAGTGATGTAATCAACTAAACACTTTACTTTAAATTACATTGCACATTAAGAGTTATAAAACAGAATGTAGGACTTTTAGATAGGCATGATTTGAAGTTGTACTTTTGAAATATTTGCTGTCATTGGAATTTTTTGAATAGATCAGTGTTCCTTGCAGCTTTTGGATCTGATTGACAATTCCTGCAAAACAAAATATCCAATGAAAAGGCCTTGTTGGATTTCCTTTGAGAACTTTAATCAACTATAATAATAGCATCAAATCATCAATGAATTGTTAGTCTTTATACTTGAGTGTTAACTATTTACTTCATGCACCAGTGTATTTATTGATATTTCAGTACTTTATACAACATGTGGAAAGCAAACTTCATCATTTCATTTATATAACATTATAACATGTATTATACATAAGAATGTAACAGGTGTAGTTAGTTGTGGTTGATACCACATTGTATGCTTCTTCGCTATGCTTTTGGTTAATGTTGTAAAACTAATATGTATAGATTTAAGCAAAATAAATACCAAATTGTAAAGAAATATGTATCCTATTCATGCTGAAGTTTTCAACTGATTATATTGAGCTGTTTTAAGGCCTACCTAACACCAAAACATGTTTAAACTGCTTAAGTTACAGTAGGCCTACACACCATTTTTAATCACCCCTTTTAAAGCAAACTCTAGTAAATAGCATATTTTATTATAATTTTCATGCCAGATTGACAAGGTTTTTTATCATGTGAATATTGCATACTGCCCCTTTAAGCTACAGATTAAATACTGCTTGTAATATTTTTCAAATTGCTTGTTAAATAAAAGTCATACTGTACATGATTCATCTTTATCTAAATGTATTGTGTATTATTCTTTTTAGGTGATGCAGTTCTACAGAATTTAGATGTAAAAGAAAGTGCTCTGGTAAGTCAGTTATTTTTATTTCTCTAGAACTAGTTAAGAGTGAATGGGATGTTATTTATATTGCCCTCACATAAAGTTTATCTGATATATGATAAGTTAATGTTCATGACCTCAATGTACTTTGTCCAGCTGATCAAATGAATTTTCCACCCTGGTTTGATTGTGAAAATTGTTTGACCTATTTGAATATCAGTTTGATTCATTTTTCATGCTTCAAAGAAAAGATAACTTATATGTTAACAGTTGAAGGCAGATTAGATACCTTTTGATTATGTTGCTCTTATCAAATCGACATAATGTGGTTAAAGTCTTTTAAATATTTCTTTTTGAGGTAGTTTTTGTAAACATACACACATTTATGGGTAAATATATGATTAAACATAATGAAAGTTTACAAACTATGTGATAAATGAAGTAACACTTGTTTATATATACTAAAACTCATTAGGATATTTTATAGTAACACTAAAACCATCTGTTGTCACTAAGTCATAAATGGTAGAAAATTATGGTATATAAATGAATATTGAACCAGTTTGACTTCTTACGTTCTTACAACATATTATAGACCAAATCATTTGTCTTTGATTTAAAACCACACCTGTATAATATTTATAAAACTTCAATTAGATTGAACCCAACCATCTGATTCAGAATCTAGATTCTATGGTAGACTTGTAGCCAACAATACATACCTAGAACAAAGAGTTAAGCGCCACCAGATTTTGAACCATTGTTTTGCAAATGAATGCAATTCACAACCATACTTGATAACAGAGATGTATATATTGGGACCTAATGTGAAAAAAAAAATGGTTTCGTGAAAAAATCAACAACAGGAAGTGGATGATCGTATATTGTCTTTATAGTCCCAAATACGAAGTATCAGTTTTCCATCAGTCTTTGAATGTCCTGTTGAGGAATTTGCTGCCACTCCTGATGGAATTCTGCATCCAACTCAGTTACAGTTTGCACAGGAGAGTCTCTACGACGTACGCGACGTCTCAGAATATACTGAATTAAAGTTAGTGGTGCTTAACTTTTTGTGCTATGTACATATCCTATAAAGAGATCCATGTAATATAAAAATCACTGATTAAAATCTCTCATCAGAACACATTTGATACACAATAATGAATTTCAAGGTCAAAAAGTGCCACTCCTATATTTCTGTAAACTTGAACCTCATGCAGATCATGTTGTTCCGAACCTGGACCACTTTGGAATGGTTTTCAGAACAGACACGGTAATTTAGTGTAATGTAAACAGTAATTGATCTAGGAACGTTACTCAGATTACTCGGCATGCCTTATAAGTGACCCTCACCTTTTCCTGCAGAATGTCAACATTATTCAGTGCCGTTGTTGTTTACATCAGGTGATTGCACCAACTAATTTCAACTTCTTCAAGAAGAATTCCACAGACAAGCGTGCTGAGAAGAACTTAGACAACTTGATTTACTATAATGTTAATTACAATTTATTGCAGCCTTGTCTGGCCCTGAGAATTAATCACTATAGTTTATTGACAAAAGTGACCTTTTAAAAATACATGTATTTGGATTTTATCACACCAACTGTATTTCTATATATATATTTTTAAAGATTCAATTTACAGTGTAGGAGGGTTGTCAAATGTACAGCGAATCAAGGAGGTACTTGAACAAGTGATATGTTATATCTGAAATGATGACAATTTAATTGAAATACTTTATTTACCTTTACTAACAATGATTACTTGTACCCAGTTGACAAGACTTATTGAAATTACACCACCCTATAGGACTGGGCGATATTGGTTCAAGTGTATATCACCATATCAAACATTTATATTTCACGATATTTATTAAGTATGGTTATTACTTGATTTTGAAACACAATTTTAGATTTACCAACAAAAAATCAGTCTTTAATATCAAGAAAATCATCTGTTTCAAATATCAAGTCACTAATTAAAATTGTGTAGATGATCTAATGTGGACAAAATTTAAAGTTATATCATGATGGCGATATTTTGGATTTATTTATTTAGACGATGTTACTAACGATATAAATTCGTGTTACTGGTACATCACCAGCCCTACCACCATAGAACCTTGTATCATGACCTTAAATTCTTTGTTATATTACGTGCACAGTTTGCCAGAAACCATGCTGTGTATATGGAATGGTTGATAATGCAAGTTACATAGATAGGAATAGATCATGGGTTAATATTAAGTAACCTTTAAAGTTATTGTTCTCTTTCTCGAATATCTTGTGACATTCAAATATACGTCCAGAAAATCATTTGTCTGCCAGGCTAGTTTAAATTAATCATTTATGAATACTATTTGAGACAAATATTTCAGATTTATTTTTGGGTATTTTGATGTTTTTTTCATTACATATGATGACAACACGTGTATATTGTGTTAAAATGTTATGTGCCCAACCTTATTAAAGAAGTGTTTTATATTCCATAATATTGTCTTGTGTTTTGTTATTTTGTAATTTTTATTGAAAGAATGAAAAACTTTTATTTTGTGTAATTTTTTTGTTGTAGAATGACTTAGATTTACCTGTGAAGATAAAAGCTGGACACATAGGTAACCTATGACATGTCTTATAAAATTACTAAAAGGAAACAGACTATATATGAATTGGTTGTCTGCTAGGACTCTTCTTCACCTTTGTGTACTGAATATACAGTCCACACATGTACAAGCAATGACCTGAATGATTAATGCTATTCAATAGATGTCTTAATCTTAATAATTTATTCAATTGATTTATTGTCAGCTATTATTAACTGAATATTGGAATCAAATCTTTCAACTTTTTGGGTGAAAGATATGGGCAGAATTGAAATATTTTCATGATGTTATACCTCAATTTGATTATTTCAATTTAAGAGTGGGTCAATGCCTAGTTAGGTGTTAAGGTGCCAAGGCAAGGGTAAGGCTCCTCAAGGTATTGCATTGGTTCTCCTTGGTTCTGAAATTCAAGCATATCTTTAATCATGTAATCATTTGCAGGAAAATTAACCTTAAAAATTCCATGGAAGAATTTATACACAGCCCCTGTAGTGGCTGAAATAGATGGAATTTATGCGTTGGCTGTTCCTAATGCATGTAAGTTTAATTGATAATGTTAAATAAAGTTTATGTAACACTTTCATTTGTTTATAGTATAAAAATCTGTTTATATAATGTTAAATAAAGGTTAATTGATTTTTTTGCCTTGTCAGCCTTTTAATCAGCCTTTTTCAGCCTTAACTATGTTCATATAAAAAAATCCCTACTTGAGCAATTTATTTCATTTTTTAATTCCTTTCTTCATTTTTATAGCCATTAGATATAATGAAGAAAAAGAACAGAAAGCAAAACAAGATGCTAAACAAAAGAAGCTTAAACAAATTGAAGAAGCTAAAAAACTGGAAGCTGATAAAGGTATTTTTTCATATTTTGACAAGTTTTATCAAAAAATATAAAATATAACTATCTGTGATATTCGAAGAGTAAGTAAAAAAATGTTATCCCATGACCAGTGCCTTTAGAAAAATTATTACTTTCCCACTGTAATTGATGATTGGGTGGTATGAATTAGTTGTGATTGGTGCCTTGTTAATTGATATTGGTATTAAACTTCTAATTATTGCTTGATTTCAATTGCTAATATGAGTCTGGTTTTGGTTGTGAAGAGTACCAGACATCTAGTTTAATGACAAGTGACAAAGAGTGTAGTATCAGACTATTGTTATGTTAATGAAGCTGATTAATTATTAATGGTTAATAACAAGTGGTATATTGTTATATTGTGTTAGTCATACATCTCTTTGCTTTATTGATCTAATATGCCTTTTCTATTATACTACAAATATTTATTTCATAGAGAATAAAAATTAAAGCAATTGAATTTGAATTTACAGGACTGATTTTAGCTAGTAAAATTACCAAAAAATGGCAATGAATATAGAATTCCCTGTACTATTCATGGTATTTACCCCAAAATATAGTGAATTTAGATAATATAAACTTTTTATATGCCAACATGTAAAAAAAAATGTAAAAATATTTAGTTTGAGTTATTGCCCTTGTTCTTGAAAACGCGTTCAATTTTTAGCTTGTAAACACTCCAGAAGACACTATTCCTGATGGATTTAGATGAAACTTTGTGTGAGTGTTCGTAATCACCCAAGGATGAACTCTATTGAAAATCAGAAAAATTGAAAAATAGTTAGTATGCGTTATTGCCCTTTTTCTTGAAAATGCATTCAGTTTTTAGCACATAAGCACTCTAGAAAGTACAATTCTTTATGGATTTTGACAAAACTTGGTGTGAGTGTTTGTTATCAACCAAGGATAAACCCCATCGAAAATCTGAAGAACTGAAAAATATTTAGTTTGAGTTATTGCCCTTGTTCTTGAAAACTCGTTTAAGTTTTAGCCTATAAGTATAAACACTCTAGAAGGCCCAATTCTTGATGGATTTTGACAAACTTAGTAATATTATGCAGTATCGCCTCAAAAAGTTCAAAAGAAGTGTATGATTGAAGGTTGAATATTTCATGCTGGTGATAGTTACTGTACTGCCAAATATTTTTATTCAAAATCAAAGCTGCCAGTAGGCATATATTAACTTGCCTGGCAGGCTTTCTTTTTAGATCTTAATTATGTGAAAATTTGTGTTTTAGTAACTAGAGACTCTGCTCATTTCTGATAGCTGCCAGTGAGTGTATGTTGCCTGGCATGCTATCTTTCTATTATCAGGAATTATTTGAAAAATAGATTAGATATGGACAGAAACATGCAATACACCATGTATATCACAGACTGTATTAACATATTAACAATCCAACAAAACAAAGAAAACAATTTGCATATTATTTCAGATAAAGCAAAAGATCCCAAACAAGATAGTTTTGCTGAAAAACTTGCCACACAGGTGATAAAGAATATCCAGATAAAGGTATCAAATATACATGTACGATATGAGGATAATCTCACTAATCCTAATCATCCTTTTGCTATTGGTGCCACCTTAAAAGATTTACTCTTCCAGGTAATAATCTTTGAATTCATTACATACAATTTATGTAGGATGTAATATTCCTGAAAGAATTTGGTTGCTTCTTTATACATTCTTGAATCCAGTTAATTTTGTTATCAAAATGATAAAGGAGTATTTCCTTTATTTTCAAATGCTGTTGAAAAATATGGCATCAGAAAAGTGACTTTATGAAGTTTTTTTTTAATCATGTTAAGTCTGTTGCTGTACAGAATTGAGTATTAACTTGCCTGATGCTTGAGATATTATTGCTATGCAACAAATTCAAGTTCTATTCTGTAAACTGAAAGAATGGCATTTTCATTAAATAAATTGATTAGGTTATATTTATACAGAAAATCAATTAACATGAGAAATTAGTCAATTTCCCTCTTTATTGTATTGAAAAAAGATGAAATCTTATTTACTCATTGATGTATGATAAAGTCATGATGACATTGTTTAGTTGAATTAAATAATATTATACAATCAATAGTTTTAACTGATGAATATTATAGTTGTAGAATTTATAGAAAAAGATTATATTCAAATCAACTGTCATTTCATTATTATGACAAAAGTTACAGGCTGTATGATTACTTAATCATGCAGCCTGTAACTTTTGTCATAATAATGAAATGAAATGATTTAAGAAATCAGTCACATCTTAATTATCCATCTTGATTTACTTTCCAACAAATTTGGTTAATGTAACTAAAAATCACTTAACTGGACTATAATATGACTATCTTTATAATCAGTTGAATTTAAAGGTATTTGTGGCTGTGATGTCATAACTGAGTAAGACTCATCTGAATGAACAGATAACCTAATACAATAAAGGTTGAAAGATTGTCCATTTAGCTGTGATTTTTTTGTTCTATTGTAGACTACTGATGAAAACTGGACACCAACCGTTATTAAAGATGCTGTAACACAGATTTATAAAGTAATTAATTTATGGATATTATAAAAGTTATGCAATTTGATGCAATTAATCATGAATGAAAAACAAAGACTCCAGCTTCTGAAAGTTATGAATCTGTTTTTCGAAGAATATAGTCTTTATATTTCTACCACATCTACCAGTATATCTGAACAGGATTCTTACCATTTTTGTATGGGGTCATTACCAGTATATGGGTTATATTTGCTTAAAAGAATGTAGACTTTTGCTGCCTTGACTGTTATGTTTTTATCTAAGTTTTAAAGGTTTATGAAGCAAATATTGAAAGGACTATTTGAAAGCTGTAACATTTATTTTACGTTTTATTCTGTAGCTATTAAGATTAGATATGTTGTCAGTATATTGGAATAGTTCAGACAGAATGTTTCAAGATTTACCCAAGGAAGCCATCTTGGTAAGTATTTCCTATTTAAAGCACTTGGATTTATTGAGTTTCTACATTGCCCCCTACCTATTACCCCTTAAACTGATACGGCTTTAGGCTCCCACTCTCAAATCTCTTACCATTTTAGGGATTTCTGTCAGCGCCCCTTAATGATTCTATGGCCCTCAGTTCCCCACCTTATTGTTCATAGAAACACAACTGCTTAGTTAAATTCTGAAAGATGAGATAGGAATGTTTAACTATTTCTGAAAACCATTCCAAGCAAACTGGCTGCAGCAGATATGATATTTATACTGCAAATGATAAAAGTATGTGTTTTTTTTCAATCATGTAGGATTGAAATACGGATTGAAATATAATTTTTTTTAAACCATTTCTTAATTTCTCTATCAATGGTCTGTATCTGTATTTTAGTCTGATAATTTTATTTTAGCTACTCTTCTAGAAAAAAAAATTGTTATTTCTAATTATTTGTTTGTTTGTTTTTAGCCTGCATTGAAATCAAGTTTAAATCCAGCAGAAAATAAAATACCTCTGCAATATAGTAAGTTTTTATCAAATCAGGAATTTTATTCTTCAATATGAAAGATTTACATACACAGATGGACAAACTGTTGCTTGTTAAATGTGAAAGAGAGAAGTTCTACTTTTAAGTTCTCTTACATTTTTCTTTAAAAGTTGAGTAAATATAGTTATTATGTTTTTAATATACAGTTTATAGAGTTTGGTATACACTTTATTTCAGTATTAAAACCTATCTCATCAGTAGCTCATCTTAAACTCAATACCAAACCAGAACTGAGTAATTTCTCTATACCTAAGATATTTTTAACACTAGTATTTGACAATGTAGCTATAGCCCTAAATAAATTACAGGTTGGTGTCAGATTTTTTATTCATTGAAATAAAGTTCCCTGGTTATTTACAACTGAAATATAATTACCTTTATCACTTCTCAGAATGATAATGATATTCAGTTTTGTCTACAAATGAATAAAAATGAATCAACACAATATGCAATATGATGACATTTGACTGCCAGATGCTCCCGATGGTCCAGGCTAAAATTATTGAAGTTTCTTACAAAAATGCCTCAACATAATAACAAAAAAGAAATGGGATATTCATAGTTTTGTTTTATTTGTTTATTTATTTCAGTACAATGATGTTTTGGAGACTTTAGAATCATTAGAAAGAATGGCATTATTAGGCATATATAGAAAATATAAACCTGATGTACCGTTTAAAGGACATGTAAAAAAATGGTAAGTTATCACCTTCTAAAAAATTTATATTTTCTATGAAACAAATTTAATGATGTTCAAAAATTCTCAGTATCTCAAATGACACAAAATATCTTGATTTATACAATCTGAATATTCCAGGTGGCATTATGCCTATGAGAGTATATTAGAAGAAACTGTAAGAAGAAGAAGAAAGATGTGGTCCTGGAAAAATATCATTAAACATCGGAAGTTGATGAAATCTTATCGAGAAGCTTACGTTCGAAAATTAGATACCAAAAAAGTATCTTCTAGTGATCAGAAAATCTTAGATGTAAGTCATAACTTAACTTAACTTTGGATGAAAGTCAGGCATTTATATTATCATTTCTTACAATTTGACCACAGAAAAAAAAACTACCATTGATCCATGTGCATATCTCTGAAGCTATGAGCATTCATGTTAGATTATTTTACGAGTACCTAAAACCTTTAAACAGATTACTTTTTTAAAAAATGAAATGAATTGAATGAATTCAAGCAATTATCAGTATTTCTCACCAATACTTAGCTGTAGAAGTGACTGTAAATAGTGGTGCCCTCAGCTATATTTCTTTCAAAATCCAGTGAGGAAGCCCAAGATCTAAGTACATGCAAATTTGAATTCAATGGAACAAGCTTTGTATATTGATCAATATTATATTATAAATTAATAGGAGGGAGAAAAATTGTTAGATGTTTTTAGTATAACTATAATGAGACAACAAGCTGAAGTAGAAGCAGCTAAATTAGGTGCTAAACGCAAGGAAGAGAAAGGTGGTGGATGGTTTGGTGGGTGGTTTGGTGGTGGAAAAAAAGGAAAATCTGAAGTTGAGACAGCTGCTGATGAAATAAGTAAGTTTTGTAATTCAGGACATTTTGATAAACTGTCAACTTCACATTAGGTTTTTGCTCATACACTTTTAGTCTAACCATTCTACCTGTTTATTTTTTTATCCATTTAGGAACAATGGTAAAAATTGCTTATTAAAACTCATAATGAATTATTTTTTTTGTAGAAGATAAGTTCTATGAAATGTATACACCAGAAGAAAAGGCTAAACTATATGGAGCTATTGGTTATTCTGAAAATGAAGCTGATCCAACTTTTCCTAAAGAGGTAGCATGAATATCTTTTTTAATATCTTTAAGATTAGTGTTAAGGAGAAAAATGTGAGCGTTTAAAAAAAATGAAATTGATCTGAAAGGAAAGGATATTCCATGTTCTGTCAAATTCTCCCGTCATCAAATATATGATGTAAAATATTTACCAAATATATAATATTAGCAATTAGGTTTAAGGGATGGAGAGTTAACAAACTCAGTTACAGAGTGTCAGGTGTTCTGAAAGAGTGAGCTTGCCCTGCCTTGCCTTTTAACACCCACCACATTACTAATGAAATATGATTTTCTTTTGATAGTATTAATTTGTTTTATTTCAGTTTGTAGCAGTACAATTAGTTACTAAATTAAACAACCTTAGTGTCTCACTCAATGATACAACTAAAGAGTAAGTTTATTTCTGTAAAAAAATTCAGATAATCCATTGTTATGGCACTTTTATTCTTTTGGTAGTATGAAATATTATTATCTAAAAAATTGCAATATTAATAGAGGTGATTTGTATCATGTACTAGTGTCTTATTATTCACTACACATGGTTTTCTAGGTATTAAAATACCCATTTTTAGTAAAAAAAACTGTTTTTATATTGTAGGAAACCATTGATAATGAGATTATCATTAAAAGATGTTTTCACTTCTGTTGGACAGAGACCGGCTGCTAATGCTGTTAAGTAAGTTATACTTTAATCACTGTTGAGTTGGTTATTCACATATGAAAATATAAAGTTGAATTCGAAATGAGGATACAGCAAATTTATAAGATTTATTCTATAAGACTTGAATCAAAATTTAGTATTATCGTTGCATTATCTGATCAAAATTTGTTCAATTTTGAGTTTTTAAAATTGTGCAATATTTGGCCAAGTTATATTTATGCTGCATCATATAAATTGGACACAGTTAGACTTGGACTTGAGAGAAGTGAAATGAAGTTCTATATCTAGAATGTAAAATTGTGTTGTATTATATATTATAGATTAGAAGCTAAAATAGATAATATGACAGTGACTGGTACCATGCAGAATAATATACGTCCTAAATTAGTTCTATCTCAGACACAAGATAAAGATCAAAACTACTCTTTATTAACTGTTAATTTTGAAACTAATCCATTGGATGGTGGATGTGATACAAGGATTAGAGTTAACTCTAGACCATTAGAGATAGCTTATGATGCTGTAAGTATTAAAATTATGTGGATGATTTCATGAGTCTACAAATAGAAACTCTGTTGACCAACCTATTCAACAATTTAAATGCCTGCACAGATTGTTGACAGTATTTGGAAAATAAAATGGTGCCAGGTAGATGATCAAGCCCTTGAAATATTAGGGCATCTCTTGGATAGAAATGAATAAGAGCTTTTGTCATAACCAAATTTTGCTGTCTTTCAAGACAATATTTGACTTTAAGTGATGAAAAATGTATAAGTGTATTATTATTTTGTAGATAACAATCAACCAATTAGCTGATTTTTTCAAGCCACCAGAATCTGTATATCTGAAACAGTAAGTAAATCTGTTGTGTAAATCTTTTAACCATCAAAATTGTAATTACTTATTGTAAATAATATATTGAGTTGGGCTACTTGGTGATGTGCTATCATCTGTTTGTACAGTGTACTCTGTGATATCGGACATCTGAGTATTCTGACATTCTGCGTAATCTGACATCATTTTCTGGTCTCGATTGATTTCCTTCTTAGGCTAGTTTAAAAAACTCCGACACTCTGTGTATTCCGAATTACAACACTAATCAGAAAAATCTGTATAATCCGACGTCTACACATCTTAATAACTTATCGTCAAGTATATAATCGCTTATCTTATTGATAATCCGGATCAAATCACATGAAAACAAAAGATCGCTGAACTAAATTCTGCTGATTAATCATCGCCAATGACCTCAAGATCAAGTTCATTGCCTTTAGACCAAATGGCATTGGTATTCGTATCATTCATTACACTGTATAGAACAGAAATATGCAATTGACCATTCTTTGTTACGCGTTTTATCAAAATTCTCAAGCTAACAATGTTCGTCCTGCGAAGCGTGCCCATACTGATTTGTCTGT